CTGGCGTGAATGTCCTTAATAGTTATGTCCGATAGGTTTTGATATAGCTCTTTGCTGTCTGTCTTTGCCTTCATATCTCTGATTGTCCCATCTGCCTTATATTTTATTATGATTACTCACTTATACCTCACAAGTTTCTTTTCTTTGGACAGGTTACCACTTCCTACATCTGATTCTTCACTAGTGCCCTTCGATATTCATGCCAATTTTTCTTTATTTAAAAAAAAAAAACATTCATGGTATTTTTTCACTATTTAAGATAAAGGTTTAGACGACATATTAGGAATAGAAACACCATTTAAGATTCATGAAAAAAAATTTATGAGACAAAAAAATCTATCAAATTACAAAGTTTCAAATTGGGTAGAGTGGATATTTAGTATATTCTCTAGTTCCTTTTTTGAGAGTAATAAGTAAATCAATCTCAAAAGGTGAAGATTTCTCAGGACTTACCTCATTCTCAGTACTCGACTCAGACTCTTGAAGTTGCTTTGGTTCAGCCTCCGAATTTTTCTTCATTCAGTACAGCTGAATGAATCATGTGTCTTGTATGGTTACTATGCTAGGTTCATTATCTAGATTTTGGTGTACCTGGGATTTGTTTTTCGACTCTTGGTGTAACTGTTTCTGAGAAGGTGCTAGTCTTTGTGGAGAGGTGAATAATTGGACACCAAATACGAAATAATCCTTATCTTCTAATACAGTCTCCTCTTGAAAATAAGATTGGCTAAAGAATGATGCGGTTTCAACAAAAATGTGAAATATGCGGATACATAAAATTTTTTGTATCCTTTTTGGGTGGATGAGTATCCCACAAGCACACATTTAATGGACCTTGAATTAAGTTTTCCCCTTCAATGGTCATGTACATGAACATAGACAACACACCCAATAACTCTATGGATAAGGTAATTGGTGAACCTTACATCAAGAAAAAAGATAGACAGAACTTTCGTGTGACTCCAAAACTCTAATATCCTATAGCGTAACCAATTAATTAGATATGTGGCAGTTCAAACTATTTCCCCTCAATATTTTTTAAGTACCTGGTGTTAAGGAAAAAAGCCACGAATAGTATTAAGTAACTATTTTTCCTTTATGTAACTCTCTTTTGTCGTGAAGTGTGAACATAGGAAGACTCATGAATAATCCCCTACTATTAAAAAAAGGTGATAACATTTGGTTGAAGTAATGTTTAATGTTGTTGAGCTGAATGTATTTGATCAATACCCTCTCGAATTTTAATCATTTTGGGAAAGACGTAACTCACTTTAGATTTGAAATTGAAGACGAAGAGTCATGTTACCGTGTACAAGCATTTATAAATGAACAAACCATATAACTCCAAAAATGTTGGCAATGTTTGATGCACCCTATGTATTGCTTTGAATCAAGGTAAAAGGAAAAATACTTCATTTATCATGTGGAGGAAAGCTTACTTATTTGTGTTTTGTCAATTAACATACATCAAAGTGTAAATTTTCATCACTAAAATATTTAAACAAAGAGGGAGACATAACCACGAGAGCAAAAAAGGAAAGGTGTCTCAATCATGGTTAACCATATCTTGTCTAAGGTACTAATGGAGAAGGCCTAAGGGTCCATCTTAAGTGTCTCCAAGAAGTACAACTCGCCTCGCACCTCAGTATATTTAATCATCCTCCCTGACGTCAAATTCTGAAATTCACAACGAAATGAAGAAAAAATCATTTTACAATTGAGGTGATGAGATAATTTGATCGCTAAAATAAGATTTGTGCATAATTTGGGAACATAAAGTACATAATAAGTTAAAATGGGGACTAATCTTTATACTTCCAACCCTTAGTATAATGGTGAATGAATCATAGCAATAATTATTTTCTTACTACTGGAACACAGGATATAGGTGTTAAAGTATTTAGAAGAGTTCGTTGTGTGATATGTAGCTCCCGAGTTTGTAATCCAAGATAGTGCAAAGGGTTTATCTAGGACATTTTGCAAACAAAATGTACTTGAATAGGCCAACAAATTGGTACTAGTGAGTTTTTCTAGGGACTCAAGTCAAGTTCTTAGTATTTCAATCTCTACTTTGAATTTATTGAGATCTGAAACTGTCATGTCAGAATTAGTATCAGTAACCTAAGGTTGTTTATGACATGATGCGGAAAAATTAAGCAGCGAAGGCCAATTCACTAGGTGAAATACACCCTTTGTTGCAACTGGACAGCAAGGACAGCGGCCAAAGGAACCACCACAGGTGATGATTGATGATGCAATATATCACAGCAACAGCTTGTCCAGTGGACGGAGCGGGCTGCTGGTGCAAAGCCTACAAGGTGGCTGAGGCTAGCAAGCAATGGTGGTAAGTGCACAGTTGGATGGCTTGCCTGCAGCTGGGTGCTCAACTGTGTGAGATGCGTGGCTGGAACGGCGGCTGAACACAGCAAGAGGTGCAGTGCTGCCACAAAGAGCAATGATTGTTGGGGATGAGTGGCAGAGGACTGGTTGCACCCCAATGAGCTGCATGAAGACAAAGGTTGACGCACGATTGAAGAAGCCGCTTGCATTCCTGAAGACGTCGGTTGGAACAGACACAACAGAGAGAAATTATGCCATGAACGCTAGTTGTTTTCTGGTTATTGTGGTGACTGTGAAGGTTGTTTTCCACCTGGAGCAAGCAGATGTAGCTGGACGATTAGAAATGGTTATACGCAACTAATCATAGGGAGGATGTCATATCTCTTGGTGATGAAGGTCCATCTGGCTGTGAGGTGGTGGCCAGTGGCTAAGTGTGGTTGCTAGTTATGAAGGGTAGCCCATAAGAAGTGCAAAAAAACCGGTGACCCGTCAAAACTGTCCGCCCCATTATGGACCGTTACAGATTGAAACTGAAACCGAACAAGATCGGGTCAACAAGGATTTTTTGAATATATCCAATTGAGCGAAGCAGGTTCAAGCTTACTTTAAAAAACTCATCTGAACCTGATCCAATCCTGTTTATTAATTAAAAAATAGAAAATATATACAATATATTAAATATAGATAAACAAAAATAAAAATCCTAGAACACATATGCACTCCAGACTCACTTTCATATTCCTCACCTCCACAAAGAACCTGCAGCCATGTCATTCTATCCTTATCTTCTTTTTTCATCTTCATCTAATCATCTTTTTCTTTCATTTTCATCTTCTTCCTTCAATCACGTATATATATATATATGTTATATGGCTCTAATATGTCTTACATATATGTTATATGTATGATAATATGATATATATCTTATATATGTAAATGTTATATATATATTATATGCCTCCTTAATAAAGTCGCAAAACAGGTTAAAAATTAGGAATTAAAAACCTGCATCGTGCAAAGCATGGCAAGTTTCACCATAAACCCGCACAATGTGGAAGAAATTTTTTTTTTTTTAAACTCACCTTGGGTTTGGGTGGTTTTGTAGCTCGCATTCTTTACCGAGGCAGATTCAATTTTGGTATAACTCGTGCCAAACTTACCCGGTTGCCATCTCTATTAGCCCCTCCCTTCCTTCTAGGATTTTTCTCATTCCAATAATGAAATACCGAAAAAGATTTACAAAAAAGTTTAAGATTTCTTAACCTAAAACTCTAATACCATGTTGAGAATAATTCAATGTATTTTTCAATATCAAGACCCTATATATAGGTTCTCTAGAATAGAAAAAAAAAATTAATTAGTTACATGGAACATATTTACCTTAATGTCCTTTAACGTAATTATCTCATAATTATATATCATATATTCTTCAACAGGCCAAAGGTTTTTATGATAAGCATGAATGTAGATAACAATACTTGTACTTCCCTCATCAATGAATAAGAAGATAACATGATCATACAAGGATAAGTTCTTTCTTCCCCTCCCCACCCCTGGGCGGGGCCCTCTTCACACAACAATTTGCATCTATTAGTTGAAATAGAAATTTTATTTAATACAAGAAAAGCAAAGAGATGTACTAACCCCATGTCATCATATCCCATAACTAGTGCCTCTCCCTGTAAATAAATTAAACACAAAATTAGTCAGTGAATAAAAGATAAACAAATAAAAGCAATAATCAGGATAACATGGAAAAAATGGATAGAAATCCAAGTGACCAAAATGAATGTGACAATGGCTACATAGCCCCAGCTCCCACCCCACTCCCCTTTTCCGCTGAAAGAGAACGGCGAGCCTTTGAAAGGCTCACCTTATAGCTCAAGGTTAAGACAACCCTTCCCCATCCCATCCCTGCTGAAAAAAAGGAGAAAAAAGGACATCTATATATTAAGCAATACAAAAATAATAATAAGAGTCTTTTTGCACCAATCCTGACATTAGTATAAATTCAATAGTCCAAGCTCCTTATAGGCAAAGATATTATCCATTCCAATAACTAAAAACTTAGAAGGTATTTAACTAGTAAATCTTCATCACGTGGACCTAGATGATTTAACTTTTCCCTTTTGTCATAAAACCATAAACCCAATAACTCCCCTTTAAAAATCCTACTTTTAAAGAAGGGAAAGAAAAAGAAATTCTCAAATCTATGCTCAACATGCATGTCCCTATCAACCGTAGCTTGTCTTTCCTATTTTGGTTAAGAGGGAGAGGGGAGAGAGAGAGAGTTGAGCACATTCAGAAAAGGATCACTAGGCAGAAGGAAATGCATTAGTGGATTAGGGATTTCTCAGAAGATTAATCCCAATTCACAAGTACACTCTTTTACTCACATCTTACAACAGAGAGTCTAAAAAATGAGAATTCTCTACGATTTCAGTTTCCTTTAGTGGGAGAATAGAGGTAAAACTGAGTGTGCTCAAAAAGAGCAAAATAAACACCAAAAAAGCTAACTGGAGAATAAAATTTCTTTTAGGTACATGGAGAACATCCATGCAAGTTAGGTGAGAATTAAATTTTATGGTCCCAATTCCTAATATTGCGGTTAATGAACCATCAGCATTACCAATTTTCCTTGCTGGAATATGGAGCATAAGTATTAAACAATTTAAAGGAGTTGGCCATATGGTCTATAGCTCCGGAATCTGTAATCCATGACAATGCAAAGGATTTACCTGAGGTGTTTAGACTATGCAAAATAAGAAAAATACCTTAATGTTTTATGAGACCTATACCTTTAGGTTTTTCAAGTTCCTCCAATTGGGTCTACAATCACTCAATTTCTACCTTGAAATCACAGGTCTATATTCTTCTCTGCCTGAACTACATGTGTTTGTCCCTTATTCTTCTTGTGTCCCCAATCCTTACCACAGGTGGTCGCCTTTCCATGAAGCTTGCAACACTTTTCTCTAGTGTGCCTTGATTTTTCGCAGAAGGTACACCAGATATTTTCACTATTTTCCTGCCGGTAGTTGAGATTTCACTATGATTTAGTTCCTTTCCTAGTTGACATGGTTTGGAATCATTAGTTATCATTGCAAAGCAATCAATTATGCGGGATTCAAGCATAACTCCTCTTTTCTTTTCTTCTCCACTAATTAAGGATATCAGCTCATTTAGGGATGGTAACTCTCCTTCTCAAGGGTTCAGACTCTTACCGAATCCTATTCCTCACCGAGTCCAGCCATAAATTGTCCTCTATCTTTCTCAACAAATCTTTCCAAAATTGTTGCATCTTTATTCCTTCTCCATAGTGATACTATGATGTAGATTAATTTCTTACCATAAGCCTTTTAGAAGGTTGGAATATTTTGTAACGACCTTATTACCCTGTTTAGTTGTCCAGGCTTTGACGGTCAAACAATATATCTGGGCTACATCTTTTCATTTGATACATTTCTTGGATCGAATTCCAAATTTCCACTGTTGTAGGCAGGCACATAATTGGTTTACTAATCAAAAGTGTTAGAGTTCCAAAGCTAAATCATAATCATGGAATCCTCATCATCCCAAAGCATTAAAAGTGGGATCTTTCTTCAGTCCAATACCAAGGAGATGACTTAGTTTTCCTCTACCCTTAAGACTGGTCCAAATCATTTTTTAACAACTCAAATAATATTTGTCGTTGAAGCGGTAAGCAACTTGAATTGGTCAAGATCCATCATAATTTTCTGCTGAATATCCCATGTAGGTATTTGTTCCAATAATCTGGAATGTAACTTCCGACATCTTTCACAAAAAAACTTAGGCAATTAAGATCAAATAAAAAGTAACTGGAGGAAGATTACCAGTTAAAATTTCCAAAGGCTGAGCAAAAAGACTTATGTGATAACTATGCAAGTGGTGCAGCTATACAGGAAGCAACAGTAGCAGACAAAAGGGCTGCCAAGGATAGATGTGCAAGGGATGGGGTTGTTGTTGTGTTGTGCGACTTGTTGGGCATGTGGTAGAGGGAGTTGAGCATTCTGTGGAGAAACTTGTGCACACAACTAAGGAAGCTGAGTGCACGGTTGAGGCGTGGCTTGCCAGATAGAAGTCATGCAAGTGCAAGTGTACGATTCTAGTGGTTGGCCGCTGAGCAACTGCTCTAACTGCTTCTAGCCATGTGGTTTGGAACTAAGGCTAGCTGTGAAGGACAACTTATGGTAGAGGTGCTCGGTCTTGTAGTGGTAGGTGGTTGGACTGTGGTGGCCGACTATGCTGTTGGCCCCCTTTAGGGTTTTCCTATTTCAGCAATGAATACTGAATAGGTTCTCTAAAAAAAAGTAGGATTTTTTCAACCTAAACCTTTGATATCATGTGGAGAATGAAATATAAATTTTATTAAATAATAATGCTTATATATACAGATTTTATAAACAATAAAAAAGAAATATTATTAATTATATGAGAGAGGTAGACTACTAATATACTCTTTATCGTACTTACTATAAAAATACTTCCCAATAGATAGTCTTTCTGGGTTTGTCATCATTGTTGAACCTTTTAGGAGGTTCAAGTATAACCTCTCTCTGATTCTCCTTAGCTTGAATATAAGAAATATTATTATTTAGAGCCAATATCTCTTCCTACCAAAGAATCTGAACTCTAACTTATCAAATTCAGCATTGAGACCTTTAAGAAATTCATAAACTCAAATTTTTTTAAAAATTAGATTCTTAAAAATTACAGAATCATCTATACACCTAGTTTCAATGCATTGACAATGGTCAAGTTCTTATAATGGGCTCTATAATAGATTTGCATACTTGATAATAATCTTATTAACTTACTTTGTTGTAATTAGTTACACTTTAATCTCGTAAAACTTGTGCTAAATCACTAGTCTCTGGATACATCAATCAAATAGCATCCCCTATCTCTTCAGCCGTGGACAAAAATATGTGAGTTCTACAAATCTCAAGATCCACTGAGTTCAATAACCATGACATGATCATAGAATATTGTTCATCCTTAAAATTAATATTTGGAGGGACACACAGTAGATGTATATGCAGATTTCCCCTCCAAACTGATTTGGAAATCACACACTCCCTTCAGAATTTCATTTTTTGTTTGGGAAGCTGCAAAGGAGTGCATCCAGACATCAGATAACCTCATGAAAAGAGGCGTGTTTACGGCCAACAGATGTTCCCCATGCATGTGTAACCTAGAAACCTGCAATCATCTATTACTATGGTGTCTGATTACTTATAAGCTTTGGTCAATGATTTTTAGTCTCTTGAGCATTCACTGGATCATTGCTATATCTGTTAAAGGTGAACTTCTTGCATGGGAGGGGCTCGGATGAGAAACAAGTGTCACAAACTGTTTCCTTTTACCATTTTTTGGATAATCTAGAAAAAGGAAACAATAGAATTTTTTAGGGTAAAGAAACTGATTTTGTCACTATCAAGAAAGATGGTTTCATTATTTTGGATCTATTGTATTATGTCACAACCTTAGTAGCTTCAATGATTTTGGACCAATTGTAAATATCCTTATTGATCTGTAAATTCTTCTATACCTTATACATGGGCAGCGGCCCCTTGACGCCATCTCATTAATACATCATTCCATATTTTTATCTCAAAAAGAAGAATATGGTTCATCCTACGCACCAAATCTTGGATCTTCTTGTCCCTAGGACATGATTGAGTTTCTGTTTTCAATTCAAATTAGGCTTAAATGAATTGGGTACTAGCTAATATAATTCTTCTTATCTAGTCTATATGTTGTTTAAATATTTCAGAGCTCTCCTACTAGTTTGATGGGAACTTCCTTAATCTGGCAAGTGCTGCTTAAAAATTATATCATTTTTTGTTTCTAATATCTTCTACAAAATATATATCAAGTCTCCTTTGTAACATCCACCAAAATCTTTTTTTTTTATTATTAATAAATATAATTTTTTCAATTTTTTAATTATATTTTATTTTATTTTAATTTAATGAAAAAAATTGAGTAAAATTGATGGAGAATTAAATTGAAAATAATTTTAAAAAAAATGGGTGAAAAATTAGGTTCTAACAGTATTTTTGAAAGAAAAATCGGAAACCGAAGATCAAAACGCAATTTAGAAAAAATTTACAACGTTAGACGCCTGATCAGCAGTCCCGACCAACCAGGACGCGCCAAGTGGCAGAGGTGCTGACGCGGGATGCCACGCCGGGGGGGGGGGGGGGGTTAAATATGCGTACCCTTTCATATCCAATGTCCCTATGAAGGTGTGGGACTAGACCTGACTGAAAACAGATTGGCCAAAAATTTACGAGGAACTTTTTAACAAAAAGGAACAAAAATTTTT